ACTGGACTTGCGACGACCCATGTCGTCTTGCGTAGTAGTAGCAGCAGAGGTTGAAGCTGGCGAGAGGATTGGTGACTGATTTGCTGCCGGAGCAGGAGTCTCGTGTGAGCTATCCAGCAGGGGCAGATAGCTTGGGGTGAAGAGACCGTGGAAACCCCTATCCCTTTCCCGGTCATAAACGCTGTCGGGTGAGGTTAGGGCAGCGGTGCCGGCATAGGGAAGGACGGATGGGGGCGTGGACGTGGATGTGGACGTAGAGGTGGACGATGGCGGCGGAGGTTCGCGGGGGTTGCCGGGATTGCTGTGGCCTTCGGTGAGGTTTTCGGTATCGTTGATAGACGGTGGTGGCGGCGGTGAGTCAGGCAGGTCAGTTTCTCGCAGGGGAGTTGTGAGACTCTGGCCGAGAGCAGGGCGTAGAGCTGAGTAGTTGTCGAAGGAAGCGGCAACTTGACGAGCAACCTCGGCTTTGGTGTGTTGTGGGATGTTTTGGAGCAGTTGGTGGGAGTATCTATGGAACTCGAGGGCCATGTCTTGGCGGTAGGCTGCAACCTTGTGGTCGAGGTCGGCTAGCTTCTGATGCAGGTCTCCGATGAGCCTCGTCGCATCGTCCATGTCAACCATGTCGCTCAAGGCCGGCAGAGGCAGCAACAGCAACTGCAAGACGGAGAGTGCCAGTGACAGCGGTAGCGGTAGCGGCGACTAGGGGATAGACCGATACCTAGACGAACGAGGGTCAGGAATCGGGGCGTGGAGGTGGGCCAATGGGTTCCTGGGCGTGGGCATGACGCAAGGCGTCTGGGTCGAGGTTGCGGCGAAATGGTCGGCGGCGTCCAATGTTTGTTCGGGATGGGCGATTTACGGTTGCGTCCAGACCACAGGCACAGAGGCACAGGCGCACAGGCGCAAAGGGTGTTGACAGAGACACACTGGGGTGGGCGGCGGCGGAAGGAGAGAAAGAGGTTCAGGTTGCAGATGAACGCGTTTGGGGAATGTTTCTCTGTGTGCGAATGTGTGTGGTTGTGTGGTGTGCGGTGCTCTGTGTGTGTGCGTGTGTGTCTCTCTTCCCCGCGGAGAGAGATGATCAATAGGAAAGTCGGGGGCCCGGGGAGGGGTGTGTGGATTGGATTGTGGTCTCGGATCAGGCCAGAATCTGAGGTAAATAGAAAAGATTAGATAAAAACCTGCCAGGACTGGGCAAGACAACAACCTGGACTGGACAAGTCAATCCAAGCGAGACCCAAAGGTAAGACCAGACTGGAGGGATACTGCGTAGGTGCCTTGTCTGCGGGAGTTTGTGCAGAAAGACACGAGAGATGAATTGTGCGTGGGGAGTCAAGCGCGTGGTGGGTGTGCGTGTGTTGTGTGTGTGGTCGGTCCAAAGCGGCCGATGTGCAAATGTGCAAATCCAATGTGCGATGGATGTGGGTTAATTCTTTTGGGCGGTACGGAGTACAGGAGCAGGACCCGGGAGTGCCAATCTGCAAGTATCTCTGTGGTGGTTGTGGCGGGAATATGTACTTGTGAGGCCTAGAACACCCTCAAAGATGGTGTCCCCGATCCCCGCTGTCTGGATTTTGGGTCGGGTCGGATGCGTGGTTCACCATCGAAAAGGAAGACGTGGGACATGGCCTTTTGGGAGGTTCCGCCCCTCTGTCTCCCCCTCGTCTCTCTGCAATGGAAAGCCAAATGGAATCTTTTTGGGTGGGCGCGCGCGCGGGCTTCCGATTCTTGGAATCTCGGGGTGGGCGGCAGGTACGTACCGGCATTGCCAAGCAGACAGGGGTGATTAAGGCAGGTAGCCCCCCCTTCCTCTTCTCCTTCCCCTTGCCCTCCCACGCCTGCCTCGTCCCTTACAACCTACTGCAGTAAGTCCCCTCTAAGTTGGAAAGAGTCAAGCCTTGCAGTCGCTCTTGCCTCTCAAGAGTCAAGCCCGGGGCATGAAAACCCCTCAGAGAGCTGGTTGTCTGCCGGGCTGCTTCTTTCTCGGTGCTGATGGTCTGCGCCTGCTTTCGTATTATGCAATACTGATCCCACGCATCGTTTGACCCTCGACGTTGGACGTTGGACGCCTCATGTCATTCGGGTGTCAACGGCGCTTTCCTCACCGAACCATACATCGAATTGCTTCTTGAAGACAGGCACGTGGCCATTCTCCCCCAGAACATGTTTAATTTGCTCATTGCTTTTTCTCTTTTCTCATCTCAAACCACGCAACCTGGGAGTCGGAACCCGGCAGCTGCAGGCACTTTGTGCTACTTACATGACCGGACCTGAGAGTCTGAGAGTCTGAACGGTTGAATGCCTAGTCCAACTCCATCAGACTCCATCCACCGTCGGCCACCCCGTCCCGTCTCGCTGCATTCTACCCTAGCACTGACATGCATATGGAAATCTCTTCATGTGCCTTTCTATCACTCAGTTATGCCATGAGCTGTCTTCTCTGTCACACCTCACTGGTCCGACAGGCTCGTGTTCTGGCTCCTACCAAGTCGCATTAGGTTTTCAGTGGTTCAAGCCTCCCAAAAACCGCCGATCCCCGTTCAGCATCAGACTTGGACTAAGTACTCTCAGCTCCGCAATGGCACTGCGCTGGCCATGACATTGGCACCCTGACCTGACAATCCATCAAGAAGGCCAAAAACTCAACTCAATCCATAGCCTAGCAGCAACTGTCGCAACGATTGCTGCAACCCTCGAGCTAACAACCGATCTCGGCACCCGGCAATGCCCTTCTCAACGTCTACTCACGAATCCGCAATCAATCAAAGCCTCTCGTGGCTTGTCGTGTATTGCGGCCATGGTTGGGCATGATGGGCGGTTACGGATTGTGGGTCATTCCATGACACTTACACGCGCTTACAGGTCACCCTCTCGAGACGGCCGCTCACAAACACAAATCGCAAGTTGCCAAACTGCTCCAGCAAACTACTATGCAGTATCCCCGAGAACGACATCAATTTGGCTCTAGCTTTCGCTGATAACGCCGGGTCTGTTTTGGATGAAGTTGTGTTTGACTTATCTTGCCTATCCTTCAGACGAGAAGCCGCGCAACACCCCTCCAACACAAAGAAGAGCGACGTCCATTGGCAGGCTTCACCGTTGTACAACTCGAAAAAACGAGGGGGCACATCGACGTCAAAGGTCATTGACGAAGAAAGGCCCCACGACGGGACAAGGTCGCCAGCATGGATGGGGGTGAGAAGGTGGGAAGCATAGAATTTGACTTTCCGACATACTTTCCTAGACACCTCCGCTGGTACATACAGTAGATAAGGTGGCATTCTTGGGCGACGTAGTGTTGCGCCGTGCCGCCCTGCTCAGGTTCGTTGGCGAGCAAGTGGTGCCAAGTGGTTGCCTCGGGCAAGGGAACCTCCCACGTCGAGACTCGAACACCCCCGTGGCCCTCCCCTCCTTCACCCCCGCCGGACGTTGGCCTTCTTTCCTTGACCGAGTCCGGCTCTTAGGGTGTCACGCGGCCGTCACCCCCGCGGCGCATGACTGGCCGCCCCTCTCACCGGTCCCGGAACCCCGTGACTTGTCCTCCACGGGGACATCGGGCTCCACGACTGTCACGAGATCCCCAAAGCTGGAAAAAACAGACTTTGAGGTTTTTTTCCCCTTGCCTTGCCTTTCGGACTTATTGATGACTCGCATTTCTCAACAGCGGTCCCACTTCATCCCACCCTTGTTTGTACCTCTTTTCCAATTTATTTTACGCGGGTGGTGATGCAATGCTCTCTCGCTTACACGGCAATGTATGGACTTTTGCTGCTCGCATTGCGCATTGAGTATTTGGGGGCGCAGGGTGGGAAAACCTCATGGCCTTGGTCACACCGAGAAATGCCCAGTTAATATGCGAGTGCAACGTCTCAGTGGCGGGTGCTTATGGCGGTGTATCTACCTATAAGAGATGGAGTTAAAACACCAATGGGAAAGCCCACGCCACACAACGAGACGAAACATCCCAATTGCCGGGTGTGAGCAGTCATGTTTCCTCCTTTGCCCAGGCCCGTTTTGCTCTGCTCGCGCCGCCTGATCAACGTCTGTATGTCTCTTCCGTGCCTAGGTACTGCAGAAAAAAAGGTCCCGTCTGGCCGCTCTAGAACGGAGAGTTTCCTAGGCGGGCACCGCCGCTCTCCCGCTGTCAACCGCTGCACGGTGCGGTCATACCTACCTGTCCTGACCTGGGGCCTTTATGAGCCTTTCCCGCGTGCTATCGTGTTACGTACCGCAGCCGCTGCCGTGTTCTCAACGGCTTTGCCTGCAAGGGTTATCCGGGGACGCGGCCTCTTCGGCCGCCGGGCGCTCGGAACCGACCGAATTGAGTCCCGTTGGTGTTTGTTATGTCATATTGGCCGGTCTTTGTTTATCTGCTTTTATTGATGACATTCTCACTAAGGTGAGAAGGCATCGAGCGATTGATAGTGAAAGCAGTCTCATGAAAATTGCTTCGGCTTCCGAGGTTTGTTTATGGGCACCTGGGAGTTGTAAGACAGTAAGGTTGGTAGCTACGTGCCGTACCTTGCATACACTTACTTCGCCGGCTGCAGCCAGGTACGCTCGAACCGGAGATTGTTTTTGATGATACTTTGATAACTACCGACGTTGGCGACGAAGAATTCATCCACTGAGTAAAGCAAGGGAGACCAGACACGTAATAGCTCGTGTGTAAATGCTCGCTGCTTATCACCGCAGTCTAGCGGATGAGAGACAATTTCCAACCCTCAGAGTGGTTGTCATTGCCGCTCGATCAATGGGCTTCATCACATCTGCGCAGTGTTTCCTTGTTCATACATTCTATTCCTATCAGAATCCTATCTCGGTGCCTAAGCAGGCGGTTACCCCATAGCCCCTCAGAATCTTCATACCGAGACCTAGCGTGCTTTGATCGAAGAGCAAGTATCATCAAGCAACAAGTCCGAGTACCCATATCCCGCAATCCACAGGATCAAAAGACAGATTCCAATGTCACATCCCTTGCAAGGTCAATAATCCCGTGATCAATCACTCATATCTTCATCGGGCCGGTATTCGTCGTCACTGCCATCTCCCATGTCGAGCTCAAGATCGATGGGCTCATGGACGACGATTTCCTCCTCGATAGGATCCAGGGCGGCATTCAGCTTCATGTAAAAGTCACGGAGCACGGGGCTCAAGATCTTTCGGGTGCGTAAGTCAGCCGTGGTAGCCACCTCTCCAATCAGGCCAATGTAGTCCTCCTGCATGGCGTTCACAACTCCATTCTTGTCGTCGCGGATTGTCTTTTCAAGGGTGCTCAGCATTGTGTTGGCGGCCTTCTCCACATCTCCGGCGGCGGTTTTGAACATGGTAGACTTCTGGGACTCGACATGTTCCTTCATGAGGTCATTCATTAGAAGGAAGGATCCGGTTCCTGTGGAGTTGAGCTCGGTTAGCTTGATGTCTGTATGCCTCCAAGAATTCGCAACGCTCACCTCTCAGGTCGACGCAGCCTTGGTAGGCTTCATTCATGGCTCGCTGAACAACAGGGCCGAAAAGACGATTGGCGTTCTTTTGTGCGGTCTTGACCAGCTTTTGGTGCTCATTAGCTATATGAGCGAGCTTCTCCTTCTATGCGGCCAGAATCACGACGAGGAAGCCGTTCACTAAATCGTTGTTCTCGACAAGAAACCGTCTGTCCTTCATGCGCTCGTGGAACGAGTTAATCAGCTGCTTGGAAGACGCGGCAAGTGTCGCAATCTTCTCAGGCAAGCGGCCATTGAAGGCCGAGTCCCACTCCTGGGCAGTATAATTCTTCATAGGCTTGAGAAGATCTGCTGCATATTAGATTCCCTCGGTTCAGACAAATCATAGTAGACAGAGCTTACCCTCGTTGAAGTCACGGGCACCCGCTGCGCCTTTGAATACGCCGCTGCTTTACGTTAGAGCCACGCTTCTTAAAGGGGGTTGTCACGAGGCAGGACTTACTAGCGACGGCAAGTAGCCTTACAGGTTCCATAGCGAAGACCTCCGGCATCGTGCTTCGCACCCCAGCCTTCGGCAGTAGTAACGGCCTTGTCAGAGGCTTTCACGGCACCCTTGCCGGTCTTCTTCAGGACCTTCACCTTAACGACTGACTTGCAATCCTCCATGCACTTTGTAACAGCCTCACCGAGGGCCTGGAGACATAGTTAGTAATGTTTCAATGGCTTGCAGTATGATCGCTTTCGCGGGTACCTTTCCTAGCTTGGTCAAAGCAACTCCCAAGCTCTGAGTCTTCTGCTTCTTCTCATTTTCGGAGAGCTTGAGGTTAGCAACGTCCCCTGCAAAAAAGAGGTCGAGGGCCCCCAGAAGACGGCATATCTCGCTGAGATGATGGCGAAAGTGGCTAGCCTGGATAGCCGCGGCCTGCTCGCGGGTGTAGTCACGAAGACCAGGAACCCCAGTATCATCGAGAGAAGTGAAGCCTACAACACGATGGTCTTTCTTCATCCTTCCTCTCAACTGCTGGTAGCCCCGACTGCTGATGCAGAAGACTGGTAAATCTCTATCAATCTGTTCATAATCGGGGCTCACGACCTCAACCTGCTGGCGAGTTCGCATCTCTCCCTCCTGTTCGGCGAGAAGCTCTTCATCAAACCTGTAAATCAGACATTTTTGTTAGTGATGCCCTTCTTGGATGACGTCCGTATGAATACGTACTCCTTCAGACCAAACGCAAAGTCCTCCTTGATCGCCTGGCGGGAGTAATCATTGCGTCCTTGGGTGCAGTAGCGGTACATCTGGATCTTCACAGCCGAACGCTGCTTGCTGAGGTCCCTGATGTCCTTCTTGATCTGCGTCATCTGCCGAGTAATCTTCTTCCGCTCCTCCCTGGCAGCCTTCTTCGACGCCTTCAGCTCTTCAAGCTTGTTGCGCGTCTCCTCGATTGAAAAAGGCTCAGGGCGACCCTCCAAGTCATCGTCGTCAGACTCAACAGCATCGAGATCCGAGTCATCACTGCTTTCGTCTGTGTCGCTTTGACCAGGCTCTTTCTTCACCTTCTTGGCAATTGCAGGCTCTTTCTCACGCTGAGGCCGAGAACGCTTCCTCTTGCGGGGAGATTCCATGGGAGCAAAGGTCGTATGCCCTTTGGAAACCTGTCTGTAAAGTCCATGCCAAGTATCAAAGTCATTGCCGATGATGCTGTACTTCTCCTGAGCGCTCGCTTTCTGGAGCTCAAGGCTTTTGAGTTCGCCCCTCTTGCGCTCGATTTCACTCTCCATTCCAATTTTGCGCTCTTGCTCCTTCGCGATGAGGTCTACAATGCTAAGACTCAGGGCCGCTTCATCCAGGGAAATGTCGTCTGCTTTGGTACAGATGAAGGTGATGTTGTTGTGCGCGCCATCGTATTTGAGCTGTTGCTTGAAGTTGTCGCCCATCAACGTACAGCGACTGCCGCGCGAGTAGCATTCGAGTCGCGTCCTCCAGGCTATTTTAGTGTCAGTAGCAATATCAACGTAGAGGTTTGTATTCACGTACCAAATCCACAATGACTACTCCGGTAGAAACGACCTCTGACTTCAGGAAGACCCGCACGACCTTGATGAGGGGCCAGTAGGCCATCTCCAGCTCCTCAGGTTCAGCACCATCGCCTTCCGTGCGAGATTTGTTTCGCTTCTTCTCCGATTCCACGAAGGCCGAGATTCCGGCGTAAAAAGGAGCGCACTCTGCTTCTTCAATCACCTTGGTCTTGCCAATCACCTCTCGCACCTTGACAAAATTGGCAAGAACAACAGGATCGACATCTCTGAGTTGCATATCAGTATGCTGTGGGTAGGCGGCCTTCAGAATGGAATATGCGATCCCAGCGTCGCTGTCCGCATTCTTGATGTCCGGAGAGAGCTTGCCCCTGTTGTCAAGGATGTCGCGGTGAAGGGCAACGACCTCAGCAGTCCCCTCAGCCTGAGTAACGAGCTCAATCTCGGCGCGATACTTCTTGGAAGTATCATTGGAGCCGTTGCACGAAATCTTGGCAACGGCGACCGTACAGGTCCGCATACAGTTGGTGAGAGGAACTCTTTCATCGTCCAGGATAGCATTCATTGCAGTGCTCTTGCCGGATTCAGGACTTCTCAGAACACCAATGACGAATTGCGGCCTGGTTAATTCTTTCCCAAAAAGCACCATGCAAAACCTCGCGGGCTTCTTCCTTCCCTGATGAGAATTCAAAAGTCCTCTGCTTTCTTTGCATACGCACCTTGACTACAAACTCAAATCCCACTTCCTTTCTCTTTGCACATTACCTGAGAACGAACAACCTACGCACTCCGTCAAGGTAAGCTATCTCCGCAAAATAGCATTTCACAGATTGACTCACGCTTTTTCTTTCTTTCGGAGATACACTTGCTGACTATTATTTGAAGATCCTCAGTATGTCTTCACCAAAGAAGAAACACAATCGACGCAAGTCTCTTCGCGATCTATTCGGCCTTGAAATCCCCCGAGTGGTTATCCCCTCACCTAATACAAGCCCAATAGAACGAACAATGATGCGCCAACACCTCCACTCCACCATATCAGAAAGAGGCTGGCCGGTGAGATCATCTGGGAATGATAATGATCAGAAAGAGAATTCAGAAACTCTTTCTATGACGATCAGAGCCGATGACGTTTATCTACAATATTCAAGCGACGATAATCCAAAGAAGCTGTTCGAAAAAGCTTCAAACTGGCTTCTAGCAATACAAGAGAATTCAGCAGAGAACGATCATGCAGATACGATACTCAAAGAGACACACGAAGCGATAATTCGTGCTATCTTTGGCTCTAACATGATTGAGAGAGCTGGTCTTGGCTGGGATATCACAGTTCACCTCTGCCGAAAGATCTTCTCCGGCGAAGATGTCACCGACATTTCTGAGCGTACTCCTGAGTACGAAAGCGAATTGCTGGAGATGTATCGAAAAGAAGGCAATCTCAAGGACATGCCGGCGCAATATGTTCTCCGCGGACGAAGAGAAATCATTCAGCACGCGCGCGCTTTTCAATACCTCATACACACATTTGTCGTATTGCGAGAAGATCTCACCGAGGAGATCATCAAAGAAACACATCGAATCCTCACCAAGGGTATCCCAATCGTCCAAGAGGGCATGGATGACGTTGCACCTGAGAAATATGGTGGCATCTATCGGGATGTTGCAGTTGGAGCTGGCTCGACAATGTTCACAGTTCCTCAATTCGTGCCGCGCAAGATGAAAGAGTTCTGCGAGCAACTCAAGGAAGATATCTCACTCGCCGAAACACGAGGCTTCATCGACCCGTTCTCTGTAGCTTCAAAGTACTCACTGGAATTTGTCCAAATTCACCCATTCCTAGATGGCAATGGCAGAACTTGCCGTATGATACTCAATGCAATTCTCTGCAGATATGCAGGTATCATTGTTCCCATCGGCGAGCAAGGAGAAGAGAGGAGCGAGTATATGGCGATAAAGCGAAATGCGAGCGAAAACATGGATGGACATGGCCCATACGCTCTTTTCGTGCTTACCAGAGCCGTTACACGCCTGCGAGAACTGAAGAAGAAGATGGCTGGTAAAGGAAGAAGAAAATGAGCTGTGTGTTCGGGGAGTCTGAAATCCATTTCATGGATTCAGTTAAGCTGGGGGAGCTGGAGTTCTAAGAAGTTATGAGACAGAAAGTTACTGCATCGTTTGAGATGCGCCGACGACTCGGCTTGGGAGGGAAACATTACTCTTAAACACATACCTAGCTGATAATCAGGCTGCCTGAATTCAAAGTTACCTAGTTTTTTCATGTCCTTGAGAAATTGTAAAATGTGAGGCGTGTTACTTTATTCAGGCTACTGACATCTTATTGGTTTATCCAGGTATCCTAAGCAAAAGGAGAGAGACAGCCACGAAGATAGTTGTACCGGTCATGCAAGCAATGCATGATTTCTCACTTGTAACTCGGGATTTAACTAAGGTAGCTTGCCACTGGTACTTGCGATAATATTGGCGGGAGAACACAGTAATATACGCGCCGTATGTACGTAAGGGCAGGGGCTTCATTTCATTTGGCACGGAAGTCCTCCAGAATATGATTGGGATAAAAGTTCCAAATATTCTTGTTGAATAGGCTCGATTCATCAGACATAAGTGGTGGGATAAATGCACGGAGTAATTAACTCATGCTTCGCTGTGCAAAATACTGCAAGGCGTGTCGTCGGAGTTGGGCCGCTTTCCTCGGTGAAGGAGGTCCGGATGGTGGGGCCGGGGTATCAGGGGTTCAGCCCCCACCGCCTTCCCCATTAGCCAGCCCGTGCCTCCTAGTCGAATCGTGGAAGCTCCAACACCTACGTGCTTTAGCTCAGCTTTCCCAGCCCTGTCCAACGCGCCTTCCTTCCCAAGGCCGAACCTGGTTATCAGCTACAAACCTTCCTACAAGCATTTCCCGCCCGCCGCGCGCATCCCACGATACTCACACAAGAACACACACATAGGGACGACAGCCATAATGTCGACAATTACAACCACGGCCCTGCAATCGGGCCACGCGCCCATCATCCCCCTCTCCTTCAACTCAAACCAACCAGACACGATCCGCCTCTACCCGCTCTCCAACTATACCTTCGGCGTCAAGGAGACCCAGCCCGAGGAGGACCCCTCCGTCATCGCCCGCCTCAAGCGCCTCGAGGAGCACTACACCCAGCACGGCATGCGCCGCACCTGCGAGGGCATCCTCGTCTGCCACGAGCACAACCACCCGCACATCCTCATGCTGCAAATCGCAAACGCCTTCTTCAAGCTCCCCGGAGACTACCTCCGCCCCGAGGACGACGAGGTTGAAGGGTTCAAGGCCCGCCTCGATGAGCGCCTCGCCCCCGTCGGCCGCATCGGCGAGGGCGAGGAGCCCGCTGACTGGCAGGTTGGCGACTGCCTGGCCCAGTGGTGGCGGCCCAACTTTGAGACCTTCATGTACCCCTTTGTTCCGGCGCATGTGACTCGGCCAAAGGAATGCAAGAAGCTTTACTTTATCCAGTTGCCCAAGAGCAGTATGTTAATGAAAACCCTTGACAGCAACAGCAGCAACACTTTTTGCTAACCCATGTCCCCCAACAGAGGTGCTTAGCGTCCCCAAGAACATGAAACTCCTCGCAGTCCCCCTCTTCGAGCTCTACGACAACACGGCGAGATACGGCCCCCAGCTCTCGGCGATCCCCCACCTCCTCAGCAGATACAACTTTGAGTTCGTCGACGAGAACGGCAACATCGTCGCTGCTACGCCCGGCGCGAGTGCACCGGAAGGATACGTTCCGAGAACAAAGGTGTTGGCGAGCGGCGACGACACGGACATGCAGGAGGCCAAGGGAGACGAAGAAGAGAACGGCGAGCAGCAGCAGCAGCAGCAGCAGTAAGAGTTGCGGGTCGCGCGAAATGCGGACACAGAAAGGGAGGAAGGGCTTCTCACGAAAAGGGATCAGGGGCGAGGCGTTTTGGCGTAGGTCACAAAAGTGCCATAAGTAGACCGGTAGGACTGTACAACAGGTTTGACGCGATATTTGCGTCGATCGACACCACATAGAATGGTATTCATTGTTTGGAAGTGGGATTGGTGACGTTTTTTTTTTTTTCCATTCCATGTTCTCAGTCTATCTGCATAACACCTAAGAAACTCACGCCTTGGGCTCTCCCTGGATGGTGGCCACCAGGCGGCGCTGGTGCTTGCTGGCCCTGAACTCCAGGTACCAGATTCCTTGCCAGGTTCCGGTAGCCTAGACAATGTAAGTGAGCCGGAAATCCACCATTTCGACTTTTCCTGTGATCAGACTTACCAACTTGCCATCCTTGATCGGGATGGTAACACTCGCGCCAACGAGAGCGCTCTTGATGTGAGCCTGTGTGTGACACATGGTATCAGATCACCACACTGTAGCACCGAAAGATTGAAAAGAAACCAAACTCACCGGCATGTCATCGGGACCCTCGGCGCTGTGACGGTACAGCTCCTGGCCCTTGGGCCCCGCCTCGGGCGCGATGCGGTCCAGCGCGTCGCTCATGTCGGCGCGGACGTCGTCGTCCCAGTTCTCGTTGAGGCTGAGGGCGCAGCTCGTGTGCTGGACAAACAGGTGGAGGATGCCGACCTTGTAGTTCTTGAGCTCCGGGAGGGCGCCGACGATCTCGTCCGTGATGAGGTAGGAGCCGCGCGAGCGGGCGGGTAGGGAGAACTGCTTTTGGAACCAGGAGCCCGTCATGGTTGTTGTAGTTGGTGGGGTATGACGTGGGGGTTTTGAGCTGCTGCTGCTGCTGCTACTTGTTGAGAATGCGTAGCCTAGGGCTGTAAGAGGCAGGTTCCAGAGAAAGTGAAATAGGTTTGGAAAGAGGCAGATAATGATGAAGCAGAGGATGAGTAGGGTCGTCGTCTGTGAGGTTTGGTTACGGTTGGTTTGTGGTGTCGTCGGAGACATTGTGGTCGTGCTTGGAGTGTGGAAAATGATGCGGGCGCCGCGCTGGTCTCCAATCTGGTGGGGCAGGTTTGATGGATAAAGTGAGGTCAGATTACCTTGGGAAAGCAGCAGATTGGACGATTCTGGAGAGAGGCACGGTACTGAACGCAAAAGATGCAGGAAGTAATACTACCATGACTTCGGACCCTTTGGGTTGTTGAGTAAAGCAAACTGTTTGAAAATCATTGTCAACGGTTTCTGATTTTCGTATTGGATTCTGTGTCCCGTCGCCTTATTGGAGTGAATCAATGCCCATGGAAGTTGATGGTGCAGCAAAACATGGTAAAATCCAAGGCGCTTTCTGCAGTGCACCATGACGAGTGTTAAACTGTGTCATGTCGCTGTCCAGCAACCTCTTCTAACGCATCTTTCGTAAACATAACTAGCTCTTGGGACGGCCAAAGAAGGCATGAATCTTGATGACAATCCGCATTGGCCATCTCATCGACGTCCTTCATACGATGCTTGTAAATTCAACAGCGAACGTCCACAGCGTCAAGCCATTTGGACCCCGATGCTTCAGGAGGGCAGTCATTCTACACCTCAGCAACGCCTCAAAATCCGAGACGTCAAAAATCTGCTCATCTTTGAATGAAAATTGTGAAATTGGTTTAACCCGAAGCAACTCTGATCCTGCTATATCTACACAGCCCACGGCTTCCAGCCCGTCGCACAGCACATGGTGTCTAATCGCTCTCTCTTTTCATCCCAAAGCTGGCGATCCCTTGCCGCTATTGCTATTGCCGTTGCCAAACACTCCCGTTCCACCATCCACAGCTATTGCCGGCTCTATGCGAGGGGGTACGAGGTCTCGGGGAGGGATTCGAGGTGCTTGCGGTGGTGCTCGTTGGCCTAGTCGTTGCATCAATTAGCTCCCCCATTGTTCGACTCGTTGCGGTGTACAGATAGCAGGATATGTCGGATCCAACTTACAAAAGGAAGACCGCAGTAGTTGCAGCTCGAAATCTCCGGCTTGTCAGTGTTGATAAAGATTCTAGGGTGACCAGACGGTCCGCCGCCGCCATCGCACGCCACGACGCGGGCGTGAGTCCACCGGACGGGCTCCTTGTGAACGAGCTCCATCGCGGAGTGAGGTTGTGGCTACAAATGTCGTCGAGACACACGTCAGTTCCTGATTCTTGATAGAATTCCCAACCCTCTTCAGCAGCTGAAGCTCCAACAATTGACTCTCCAAGCCATTCGACTCCTCATCCTCCATCGTCCTCACATCTCTTCAACCCTCTCCACTCAGTCCCAGGGGTCGCAGGCGTCGCTTAGCTCACCTGGAGAGCGAAATCAGTCTGCTCAAACCGCGGACCAGTCATGGCCTCGGCGCGGGGCTTTTGGCTGCGCGACCAGACAAGCGACCGGTTCGGCGCCTGTCCGACCGTCTCGGGGACGGTGTTGTCGGCGACCTGGGGCGTCGCGGCCTCGTTCTTCTCGACGACGGCGGGTCTCTCGGTCGTGCGGACCGTCGTCGACACACTAAACGGTCTCGAGGCGACGCGGAGCTGCCGCGACAGGGCGCTCGTCGCTGCTCGTCTGGATGCCGACAACATGGCTTCGGTGTGCTGTGCTCAATTGAGTGGTGGGGATTCGCTTCGGATTCGAGAGCGGCGGTCGTCAATTCGATTCCGGTCCTGGCTTTCAACCTACTCTCGGGTTTCTGGGGATAGCTTGGTGTTCGCGGAACCATTTGATTACACCTGCTGTCATTCGTCGGGAAGAACTGATGCCCCGTCGACCGAGTCGCAGACCCACCCATGGAGCACGGACCTGACGGTCAGTCTGGTAGGTACTGGGCAATCAAGCCAGTACTTTTGAATTTCACTCACACCCAAGTACCCTAGAATACGAATTTGGAGTCGGCCATGCCTGTCAGTGAACAGCTACTCCAAAGCAATATTCTCAAAAACACATGATTTACATGAAGGATACACAGCCAGTTTTGTCAAGGATTTGTCATATCTCTTAAAGCATAACATGATAATCAAAAGTCATACACACGTGCCGTCATGCAACCGATACTCCAATAGAAACCAACGAGGCTATGGAAGACTAGCCTCGTATATGCCAGGGCATGAGGGGGACTCTATCTCTATTTACGCCTCATTGTATCCTTTCTGCTTTTGTTTTGTGTAATGCATCCCTCCTCCCATGAAGCAACCCCCCCCCCCCCCGATACTTGTTCATAGCCACATGGACACATTTGCTGTGCTCGCGTCTTGGTATACGTCCAACCGTCTCTTCATTTCTCCCTGCAAAGCCGAAGCGGGCAACAGGATTCTTCTCGAATTCACAATACGTCGCAATCATCTAGCGATCCATCGGCAAGAACTAGCGTGACCGAGTAGTCTGTCCATGCGCCTCTGCGTCGTCGTCAAGGTGGATCTCGGCTGCCTCTGTGGAAGCGGTATCGTTATCAGCAGCTGGCACAGAGATGACCTCTGCATTGTTCTGACGGGCCCATGCGGCGGTCTGGATCTCTGACAGACCAACCTGAGCGCCAAAGTCGGGCGGCGGAGGCGCCTCATCATGGGCGGTCTCGTAATCTCCCATGGTCTCATCGAACTGCATATCAGTGTCGTTGCCGACTTCGCGCTCGTCTGACGAGTCTGGTTGTGCGTCGTCGCTACCGTAGCCGTCCAGACCAAGGGAGTTGTTGGTTCCATCAGCGGAATCCAAGGAATTCCAGTTCCAGCCCTGCGTAGCTGAGAACGCAGTCGAGTCTCCGTTGTAGTCCGTCATGCCGATGCCCTCATCCTCAATGCTGTTTTGAATGTTCTCGCTACCAACGTTGGTGCTGGAGCTACCCTCATAAGGTGGCAAATCATCCTCTGCACCCAGGTTGGCCGTGGACATTGTGTTACTAGCCAAACCACGATTTCCGCGCGGGTGAGTTGCTTCGGCTCCGATCCCAAGTCTCGACGATCCAGTTAGGGAGGAGCCCCCGACGAGACGTTGATCTTCCCCCGAATCGGTATCCTCTTCATCGTCGTCTTCTCCATCCTTGTCGAACTTGTCGAAGATCTCCTTGAAGCGAGGGCCGCCCAACGGGCCCTCGGACCGACGCCGGTAGAAGAGCAGGTAGGCCGCTCTAGTAACGACGCTCTCAGGCGAAGTCTTGCTGGCCGAGGTATCTGGAAAATGGTGAGTACGAGAAGTCATGTTTTGCAAAGGGTCAACCTACCATTGTAGTTGTACCACTGGCCGTCAACAAAGTTTCGCCCGTAAGCAGTGTAGTGGCCACCGCCGAGACCACCAAAGTGATCGTCGACCGCGATGAGGTCGTAGATCTCTTCCTTGCCCGTCTCCTGGCAGAGGACACGCTTGTGAAGATCGAGACCCTCGATGGGAAAGTCAACCAAAACGTCCAGCTTGTCGCGGCGCCAGCCAGCACTGCTAAACCGCTTCAGGTGGACAACGAGGATGTCTGGCGTCTTCCAGAGATCGAACTTCTTGCTAGCACGTCGATGCTCCTTGCAGCGTGGACAATACCACATGTCCTGCTCAGACAAGACTTCGGCCTTCTCGAACTCATCCAAGCACTCCTCAAGGGTAATGCCCTGCTTCTTGCGAGCCATCCGCGACTTACGCTTCTGTTCCAAGATGGGGTCCTTGAGCTCCTCTGGCTCGGTAAAGGTCTTTGAGCCGCGGTTGTCGTCAGTGTCGCGCAGTGAATCCTTGCCAAAGACCAAGTCCCAAGTTTCCTCGGACCAATCGACGACAATGCCCTCATCCAGACGGACGAGCGGGCCACCGCGAATATCGTCCTCAGGCGATGGTTGAGGCTCAACGTCGACCACGTGGAACGATTGCTCTTTGCTGTTCCGCGAGTCTCTGTTGCGGCGTTTGCCGCCCCTCTTTCCGTAGGTCTTGTTGCCCTTGTTATTCTTTCGGCGAGCTCCACCGACCTTGTGGTTGCCCCTTCCTCGGTTCATCGGCTGGGTAACGTTAGCTTTTGCCGCTTCCTCTGCTGTCGCTCGCCCGGTGATTACATACCTTGATAACGCGAACTGGCTCGTCCTCTTCCGACTCATCCGCCATGCGGGTCTGCTCCTCGACCGACTGCGGTGTGGTCTCTTCGCTGACACTCTCGTGCTCACTATCTGCACCGTTGGTGGAGCCAGGGCTGTTCGAGTCTTCGTTGGGGAGTTCCGGGGCGCGAGAAGACAGGAGACGAAAGTTCTTATTGTCGTCCACCGTATTCCAGCCCACAGGCAACCCATAGTCGTTACTCTCGCCAAAGAAGCTGAGCTCAAACAGGTTCTGGAGGTGAGGCGGAAGGTACTCCTTGGGACTCGCCCACTTCGGGCGGCGAACGTTGAACTGCTTCAGGGTAGGTCGCCGGGTCTGCTGTTGCTCGCCTGCGCCGACAGAAACGTTCACCAAGTCATCCTCGCCTTCTACCGAGTTAGAGACAACCTTACTGTCTCCTGAGGAATCGGCATCTGATTGGGATGTGATGACCATGTCCGCTTCGGTGCTTTCGTCGGTTTCTTCAAACTCGGACCAGGTAGAGAACGTTGCCACCTTTTCCAAAACCTTGCGACGAATGGCATCCTCATTCCGGGACTAGAATGCTGTCAGTTTCACACAAGAGTCGCAAGAATCAGTGTTCAGCTTACCTCCTCAGGCGTAACAACGATGAAGTGAGGGGGTGCTGCAATATCGTCCCCCCTCAATCTGTAAGTGTTGCCCGTCTTCTTGCGGTGAAGAACAGGGACCAGCAAACGCTCAGTGCGTGGGTCAACCCAAGGCTCATCGCTGATCTCTAGCATCGACCTGGGCGTACCCATCTTCTTCTGCTTAGGGGGGTAGTTGGTCGGCGACGATTCCAGCTCATGGAAGGCAGGTATATCGTTGGACTGGATCTCTTCTGAAACCGAGGTGGCATCGGAGTAGACCTTGAAGAACTTGCCCTTGAACTCTTCTGCTCCCATCAACAACTCCACAGGCACACCCGTCTTATCTGAGAGCGCTTTCTTCAACAACTCGATGGCACTGTGCTTCGGGAGCTCAACCTCAAACTTCACAGGCACGTCGTTGAGCGGGTAGAACTTGACAGGCCGGCTCCACATGTCCTCCATGGGCAGCGGCAAAGTCAGGTTGTTGAAGGGGTCGAAAGTGATGCTAATCTTGTCGCACGTCGGGCACTTGAGAGTGGACTTGTACAAGCCAGTGAAGAGGTCTGCGATGACGGAGTCGTCGCGCTTCCGAGTGATATCCCATACCTCCTCAGCCATCTTACGAATGGCCTCCTCGTCACCGATCATGTCGTCTGTCGAGTCCGGCTTCTCAATGTAAGGTTTCTTATGAATACGACTGAGGTCCTCTTGCAGCGCGTCGAGGAGGAAACCGAGGAACTCTTGGGTATCTTGTTGACCCCAGCCTTGGAAGGTGGCGCGAGCACGACCTACTGTGTTCTTGAAGTCGCGGGGACTGACTGCACCTCTCGACTCATTGTAAATCTCCTTGAGAAGTCCACCGTAAGCCATGGCCACCTGTCCTTTGTATCCAAGAGGGTTTCCCTTGTTGAGCTCCTCTTTGTATTTGTCCGTCAAGAAGTATTTTGTCAATTCCTCTACGCTGCGGACGCACTGCAGGGCCGAGTTCATATAGCATGTGTTTCCAAGATTCTGAAGACCTACGGCGCCTAAGCCCCGGCCAGGTTTCTTCTTCTGCTGGGTACGGCCTCTGGTAACGGGTCCTTGAGGAGCAGGGCTGCTTCTTCCACTGCTGGTGGCCTTCAGGCTCGTGGCAGAGCCTCTAGATGCCAGAACCTTGTCATTCTTGCCATTCTTGAAGTAGGTTGAGACCCATGCGTTCTTCGCAATTTCTTCATCAATCACAAGGGTCATGTCTTGCATCAGTCCGTGGACCGAGAGGGGAGAGTTGCCGTTGTAGTTGGGGTTGGTGGTGTGGTCCACCGCAGAGACTACCTGTCGGTCTCCGCCGTTGACCTTTGTGAAGCTAGGCACCTCCACGAGCATACGTTGCCAGGGGCCCGACGAGCTCTCGCCGTCCTTGTCCGGGTTTGGAGAATCGGGCGGTGTGAGGGCAGACCGGGGTGACGACTCTTGCGCCTCGGGCTGTTGAGTAAGCTGCCATACCCGCATCTTACGATCCAGAGGGACACCGGTGAGCTCCTTCAGCTCCTTGTAGAATGGGTGGTAGGGTGTGGTGGCACTCCGGGCCAGGACGAGGGGCTCCTTGCTCTTCAGCTCGTCCTTAATTTTGAAAGGGCTTGCCATGGACCAGAGTCTGTGGATTGTGAAGACGGGCGGGTTCAGCTCAAACATGACGTTCTTTTCGCTCGTCGAGTCGGGCGCCGCGTTGATAGCGCTGCGCACAATGGGCTTCTGTCCCTCACCGACGCCATACCACTCCGAGACGAGCGTCCAGGCGTCTTCCGGGAAGAGCTCGCACTCCTCCATGCCAGTACCAGGCTTCATCCGGACAAAGTCGTCACCGCTGGGCTGGGACAGGACCTCGAGAATGAGATCGGAGTTATCCACAGGGCCTAGCGGCTCGTCTGTCGTCTCTTTCTTGGCAAACT